ATTTTGCGACCAAACAACAACATAGTTTGACAGTTTGATTATAAATATATTTAGTGTTTGCTGATTGGCTAATGGGACTCGGACAAAAAAGTGGGCGGTTATCAAATTACACTGCCAAACCCAGCAGGCGGTATTTTAGACCGCCTGCCACGCAGGCTAGGATGACGTCAAACTCACGCGTGTAGGTGCAATTTGACCTTGAGAATCCATTTCTGGCCTTTGCAGGGTCATACGATACAAGCTGCGCATTGTTCTGACGGTTTTCAGTCGTATTTCCGGTTGGGATTAACTCACTTCGAGCTCACAGTCGGACAAGAAATGGAAATATATGATAAAAGGTCCAGATTTGAAGATACAGGCTTGCAAATAACACTTTAGATAGTGTTTTTAATGGGGATTCTAACAAGACTATTACAAAGACGATATGTTCGAAGGGGCCGAAGTTATTTTCGGCGAAAGTATGGCTAGTCTATATTTTGTTCAGACAATTGCGTAATTTGATACAATATATGATCGTGTTTGACTTTCAAAGGCCCATAAATCGCTGCAATGTTGATAATGACTAAAACTATACGGAAGAATTAGTTAAATCGTTTATTTCTGAATCGAATGGTGGTATTTCTGTCTTCATGGCATGCACAGAACCGAAGATATGAAATTTCTCGCCATCGATCTCCCAGCATCGATATAACTGGGTTGTGATGCAAAAGAGGTAAACGTCTCGGCAGTTCTGCCTTCATCAGTTTATATTACAATTTGTAATTTACAATTTAACAATGTCTAGCTTTTATAGCATTGGCAAGATCAAAATTACCATATTATGTAGTAAACAAATTAATGAGGATCAATAGTAGGATCAAAATTACCATAATATGGCTTACAAATTATAATTATAATAATTATTACAACTTGTAATGGATCCTATTTTTTTATCGAAGTTCAGATCTCTTATTGAGGCCATAAGGGCTAAGGGAGCGGTCATTAATTATTGGGGGGGGGGGTGGAGTGCCGGTAAATTTAGGGGGAGGGCTACCATTTTTTGGACCCCCTTTTGGGGAGGGCCAAATTTTTTGTGCCCATCTAGAAGGGAGGGCCACAAATATTTGGGCACCTATTTCAGTAAAAAATGTTATATTTCAATGACCAATCCAATGGGCCCGTACACGGATAATAAATGAAGGCTTCCATGCAGAGATAAAACGAAATTTATTTCACCAACACCAGAACAATTTCTTTCATCAACGATAATAAATCATATTTTATACATGTAATGTCAAGTATATAAACAACTAGTTGATACTCATATATTTCCTCACTTGCCGAGCCTGTAAAGTTCATTGCTAATTTCAGCAATATGGTGTACATTGTTTCACGTCAATAATATGCGGTACAATAAAATCTAACAAACGGAAATCTTACAAATATATGGTCTGTAGTATAAAAACATATACGTGATCAATCTGAGTCAGATATTGGTTGACAGTAAGGTATACATCCAGAGGTTTCCCAGTATGGACCAACATCGTATGAACTATTATTGTCATCATCAGCAATTTCCTTTTCAAACCCAATCAAATTGCCACAAGCATGGCCACCGTCCCTACCAACACTTCCAACATCATTTCCAGCATCACTTCCAACATCACTTCCAACATCTCTTCCAACATCACTTCTATTTATATCATCAGTTCTACCATCATCACTTTCACAATAATCACTTGCATTGTCATCACGTCCTGTCATCACGTCATATCATCCTGATCAGCTTCATCCCGACTTCCACTGCCATCACTAGCATTTCCGCCAACACCTAAAATGTTGCATACCATGTATTTGGCACTGCCATCAAGCAATTTACAGCTTGAAGATGTCAAAGCTATTGCCCATTTTTTTTCTCTCTTTCCAAGTTCCTTGATGATCCCCGCGCTTAAATCGTCCTTTGTACATGCCTTTCCTTCCTTGAACTCTGGAGCAATCTTCCTTAAAATCTCTGTTGTTCTTGCTACATTTCGCTTCTTCTTCCTTTTCTTGCTCTTGCTGCTGTTTTGCTTCTTTGAGCGGGACTTCCTTTTCATAGCGGAAAAAGTGTGTTTAAATGCTGAATTGCATGTTTTCTCAAGTTCTGTAAGTCTAGAACGTATATTGTTTAACTCACTTCTAAGAGCCTGCAGGTAAGTTAGCTGACTTTCATCAAAATCATGTGCTGTTTTACGTCCGGTCAAAATTCTGCCGGATGAATGAATAGTTTTTTCCATGTGTTCCTTGAGGCTCTTTCCCATCTTATCAATAGACGTTTCAATGCTTTCAATTGCCAGCATATTCTGTCTTATAGTTTTGGAGTCATGAGGTTTTAGGACATAATCTTCTCTGAGGAAAATTCCAGTCCTGGAAGGATCCTTTTCAGACTTAAGTTGGTCCACTTGTTTTTTTTATCTGTGCTACCCTTTTTTCCTGGTCGTACTCTCTGCTGGCTTCAACATGGAAGGCTTCCTTGAAACCTTTATTGGTTTCAGCAAAATAGCCGACCTGTTCCAAATAGAATGATTCGTAAATTCTGTTGTATGTGGTGGAAAAAAGGCTGGTTACTCAGTACCTGGATCATCTTTGCGAACTAGAAAGAAGGAAAAAAAAGAGGGAAGATAGCAGAAAGCGCGCAAATCTGGAAGAAAAGAGAAAGACCTTTGAAGATTACAACTGGAAAGCT